AATCGAAAAACCGTTTTTAAAAATTGTAACATGATACATTAGGATTGCCAACTGAAAATGAAAAAAGGGGAAATAAAGTTAACTGTGACCAAATTGAATTAAGTACCTGAAGATTAAGAAAATATACATGTCTAGGCCCAATAATACTGTCAATCAAATTAGAAATACATATTTTTATTACACAATACATTAAACAGATATTGGCTTTCACAATAGCCTCAGCATTGATAATGTACAATGACATCCAAAGGTGACAAATATTGACCCTGACCAGACATATTTTGGCCCAACTTCCCTTCCTCAGTGGTCAAACTAATAGCATTATTACATGGCTCCTGACATAACATTAATTTATCATAAACTGACCAAGATGGAGTTATTCTGATAATTATTGTCTATGACCAAAGGCAAAGATTTTGATCAAAAGCCTCATTCTGGAGAATTTGCAGCCATGTTCAGGTACATTTATTCCTATAGCAATGATTCAATTATGTACCTTCCTTGCTCCACCTCCAAAATCTAACCTAGAACTGGCAACCTTAAGATGTATCATCAATACATTGAGTCATAAATTACACAATGCATACCATGATATACAATTCGCTCTCAGTGCCCCCCTCCAACAGTAGATTTTTAAAAATCATTCTGTGTAAGTTATACCAAACAATTAAATGTGTGCAAGGTAGGTTTTGACCTTATCAGGCTGAACTGCAGACAAATGCAGTTCAATAGTTAGGTTAGCACACACTAGGCCTTCATGCTGAGATTAAACTCTCACGATGTGCTTAATATGAGTCTGTTATATGCTGTACCTGTCATACGTTGCTTTTAGAAAAGAGGCCCACTGTCCCTGTCAGAGAAGTTCCTTCCCCTTGTATATTGCTGTAGGCTGGTACTTTTCATTAGCAAAACAAGATTCCAATAACAACTGACAGCTTGGATTTCTGCTTTGATATATGAAATTTCCGACAAATGTAGCTGTTTTACAACCCTAGTTAGCATTTCTTTTCTTTACCCTAGTCTTGGCTTCTTTATAGGGAAAACACCCATTTCATTGTATTTTAACTGTAAATAAGGATGCACTGCCCCAGGGTATAAGCAATTCTAAGCTACTCATCAAAGCCTACATGCAGCTGTATCTTACTGATTTTTTTTTAAAAAAAGAACCTTTAAAAGGCTTTCACCTGTCTTCATTCAACTGTGTGAATTAGCAACTTTCTCCCAGGTCTCCATATATGCCTTACTTGCGTCTCCTCCTATAGCCTGAAGTGGTTAGTAGCTTGTGAATTTGACTCCCTTCAACAGTTTTTATGCAAACACTGAGCTCAGAAAGAATAGCTGTATGAGAAAACAATAGTGTATGTTATTCTAGATGGCGAATGCAAATTTTAAAAAGTTATTGGATTAGCTGGAGAGCCTACATACCATTTTATTTTGTGGAAGGTATTCATCTTCTCAACAATTTAAGAGCTGGTCTAGATTTCAGCAGAACAGTGTCGATATACCTTTCCTGGAACAAGTCTACTTCAGAAGTCAGGTGGGAAATTTCAAGATTCAGTGCTCCTCCCTAACACTTGCATGTAGAGGAGTAGCACATCAGGGGAAAGGCTAGACTTGAAGCAAGCTGCCTCACTTACATGCTTGACTTACACAGTTGGGGTATTTTTAAATAGGGAGAGGGCTTTAATCATGAGATCTCTATATGTATTCTGACGGTAGAGTGAACTCTTATGTGTATTATGTCAGAATCTGGAATCTTGTGATGTGGTGGCTGAGAACTGAATTATTTCACATCTAGGAAAGACACTGTTCACTTCGGGGACATTGTTTTTGTTTTGTATTCATGTAGTGAATGTTATATGTACTTCGACATTTGTCAGTGGCCTACCACTGCACTCAGAGAAAAATTGAAGCTTCCATCCAACGTAAGTGGCTCTTCATTTGACAAGAGGCACTGAAGGCAAAGGAAGGCTCTTTAGACTGAAGGAACACTTCAGGCTTTGTTGAGTGGAGTGGTGGGATACAGACCACTTATGGGTCCCACATCTGATTCTACCAGATGCTCCTGTTCCTATAACAATGGCCTGATAATGAGAAATTTCACCGGTTCAGTCTTTTGTATCAGGATGTTGGAAAAGGAAGTGCCAGTTGTTTTGAATATTAGGTAAAGGTAAAGGTTCCCTTGCTCGAAAGCCAGTCGAATCCGACTCTAGGGTTGCAGTGCTCATCTCTGTTTCAAAGCCGAAGAGCCAGCGCTGTCCGAAGACGTTTCCGTGGTCATGTGGCCGGCATGACTAAACACCAAGGCGCACAGAGCGCTGTTACCTTCCCACCGAAGTGGTCCCTATTTATCTACTTGCAATTTCTTGCTTTCGAACTGCTAGGTTGGCAGGAGCTGGAACTAGAGACAGGAGCTCACCCTGTCTTGCGGCACCCGGGTCTTGAACAGCTGAACTACTGACCTTCCACAGCCTGCAGTTCAGCGTCTTAACCACTTGAGCCACCGCAGCTCCGGTTTTGAATATTAGTAGCAGGTTTGTTTCCTAAAAGAGGCTGTTCTGTTTTCAGTGCAACACACCTTGTCCTTTGCAGTCAACTCAGTACACTTTTCTGAGAAACATTTTTTTCCACATGTAGTATCCCTTTACTTGTAACTTTGTTATAGTTAAAGCACTGGAATTATTCCTCACATTAAGCTGGAAGACAAGAAGCACATGGTTTCACAAAACTTTGAAAAGGTAAGAGTAAGTCTAATTATTACAGCAATAGTGTGGGGACTACTCCCCACCCCCCCACCCAGTGAAGATACAAAATCACTGGCCCATCATGGTAGCTTCTGCATACAAATATTAAGGGAGGACTATGGAAAGAAGCCACAGGGAAGTGACCTTCAATGTATAGGGCAATTGATGTTACTTATTAAGCTTTATTGGAATATTTAAAACCACATTCCAGTTCTTGTATTTCCCCAAAGATTCTGAGGAGAAAAGGCAAGGCTTGGTTATGCCGAATAAAGGGCTTGCTTTGTGGTAAATTTCCTGAGAAAAGTTGTGTTGAATTCTGACCTTGGGGGTAACAATTTGCGCCAGAGGCATAAGAAAGATTAATGCGATTTTAGAAGTGGAAATATTATTTAATTACGAATGATCTGATTGGCTTTTAATGTAACAAAGAGCAGTAGTGTAAAGTCTTCTCTTTCAACATCTTCCCAAGCAGCTTGCCAAAGTTTCTGGCAGCCCATTTGCTTACCTGAGGCTTATATACTCTTTCCAAAGCTTAAAAAAAAAATCTTAAGCACTTCACTGTAAATAGAAAGTAAATGAAAACAGAACAGATATGTCTGTATTTTTAGAGTTGACAAGGGCGCTGGGAGCTGAATGCTTAATTTCTACAAGGTGCTTGGACACCCTTTTCTCATGAGACTTTCTTTTTTTGTCTTTTAGCTACTGTGTGACAAACAGAAATTCAGCAGGTGATGCCTTTCCCATGGTGATAAGGAATGCTTAACCTGTTGAATTTCTGCTTGTCACATGGCACATTTAAAAAACCAGTGCACTGCTGACTCTTGGGCTCTGAAAAATTTGGCAATTAAAAAAATACTACCGTTTGCCTAAATGAAGAGGCTAATTAGTAGTGTCTTGCATTCTAGTTGAAGACTCAGAAAATCTGACCATGATTTTGTGTTATGATTTTGTGTAACTGTTATTCTGCTGATTTTCCTCTCAAAAATACATAACTTTGAATGTACTATGCCAATTTTTTGGTGGCAGGATTTCTGTGCCAACTACATGGCAACCAAACATTCAGCTGACGAAGCTTTTCCTGGTACTGCACTGTGATGCTGGAAAAGGGCATATACTCTAAATCCCAAAAAAAGGTGTATGTCTTAGTTTTTAAGGTGTAACATGACTCTTTGTTATTCCTGCAATAGACTAATATGGCTACCCCTCTCCTCTGGAACTGTATAATTTCTGTAAATCATGCAGCTGCTGAAAGCATAGGAATGCTGCCTGGAAAGAATGGCACTTCACAGAATGCATCAGGGCAACAAATCTGATTTACACATCCAAATTAAAAACTTGATATATAGAACAGGGTGAGGTGGGGGAGGCAATTATGCTGCACAAATGAACTTGCATGGTGTCTCATTTTGCCTTTCTTTTGATACTTGGTGAAAATGATTTGTAAATTTGCTTTGTAATTCAGCCGTTGAATCTCGTGGATGAGCTTCAGTCCATTGCTAGGCCATCTGACTAGTAAGACTTGAGCTGGAGGGTGTGTGTGTGTGTGTGTGTGTATGTGAGAAAACTGCAAAGGCAGTTAGCAAGATGAAATATCTAATCTGTTTTATCAAACATATTGTTTCCAGAGGAACTGTGAAGTATTTACAGCACAATTCTAAGCATGTTCACTCAAAAGCAGATCTCATTTTGTTTAATGAGTTTAGGCTGCAATTCTGACAATTGACTACAGGGGGATTTACTTCTGAGTAGACCTGCTTAGAATTGCTTTCTTGTTTGTAAGTGTCCAAGCATTCATAGTTTGAAATGCTAGTATTCTTAAACCTAGAAAATAAAGTGTGGATATTAGCAGTTCACTAAAGTTTGGTGTGAATGACTATGGTATTTCAGAGTTATTATATAAAAGCAATAACAAAATAAAAGTTCACCCCAACATTGTTTTTTAAAGGAATTTGAGGAAAGGGATCTTTTTTGCAGCAAAAGCTTTACATAGAAGTATGTCCCAGGTTCCGTGCTGTCAATCATACCAGTGGAAAATTCCTCCATTCATTTAAAAAGATAAACAGTTGTAACTTTCAAATTTGGTTAAAGTGACATCTATTACTGGCCTGGGCTGTCAGCATTCCAAAAAAGGGATATCACCCTGATCTCTAGCCTATCAGGATGCACTAGGCTGAGCCTTGGAAAGTACACCCAAACATTTACAGGTGTATATAAGTACTGGGAGGTGAGTCTTGCAGATTATGCACCTGTCTCAGAGAAAGGACTAATACAGGTGTGTTGTAACTTGGTAGACTGCCAGAGCTAGATTATGAGCTCATTTGATCCACAGATACATTCTTCACCGCGTTGCAGCCCGCAATTTCCAAACATTGGCCAGGAGCCTCCTGAAATGAATATCTACTACGAAAACTTCTTCCATCCTCAGAACATTCCTAGCCCACAAAGGCCTACAAGCTTCGAAGCAGGAGACTACAATGCCACACACAATCCTTATCTGTGGTTAAATGGACCTTCCATTAACTCCCCACCTTACCTCCCAGGATCCAATGGCAACCCTTACATTCCGCAGTCCTATGGGATGCAGAGACAACTCCTGCCTAACATGCATGGCTTGGGGGCAAATGAGATGGGCTGGCTCCCTATGCCTTCTCAGGAGGAGCTGATGAAGTTGGTTAGGCCGCCTTATTCTTACTCTGCGCTCATTGCCATGGCCATCCATGGAGCACCAGACAAGAGGCTTACACTCAGTCAGATCTACCAGTATGTTGCTGACAACTTCCCTTTCTACAACAAAAGCAAAGCTGGCTGGCAGAACTCCATACGGCACAATCTTTCTCTCAATGATTGCTTCAAAAAGGTACCACGAGATGAAGACGACCCAGGTAAGAAGGCTTCCTGATTATATTTTTGCTTTCCAAGCTGCCTTCAGAGGCCAGCTGCTGTTTGCCAAGAGGCTAGTTTATGATCCAGTTTCGCTGAAAGTGTGCTTTGTAGGCCACTGCTCTTTTGTCATTCACATGCCTTGATAATAGTAAATACTTCCTAAAAACACAACGGTTGAAATGCAGTTGTTATTATCTGAGTCAACAATTAATAGAAATTAGAATATAGGTGGGCTATGATAGATATTTGTTCTTTTGAAATTGACAATGACAAAAGTATTGATATTTTCCATTTCTCTTTAGAAGGGAGAAAATTTCATTCTAACAGCACTTTCAAAATGTTCCTCACACTTTTTTTGGCAATTGAGGATTGGAACACTAGCAGGGCTGCCAGCTTTTGTACTGGCATCTACTCTTTTACCTTTAACAGTAGTTTGGTGTGTCAATATTAGCTTTGTTCAGTTATTTAATATGCATATACCTTATGTGAAGAAATTTTCACTGGACCCAACACCCCTGCTTGAGCCAGAATAGTGCAGTAGTTAGTGCTGAACTACTGTTGGGAGACCTGGGTTCAGATATCAGTTCAGCCATGAAGCTTACTGGATGGCTTTGGGCCAATGACACGCTCCTGGCCTAATGTGCGTCACCAAGATAGTTGTAAGGATAAAATTCTTTGGAGGAAGGGAAGATTAAAATGATCTGTATAGACTGACAGAGTTCCTTTCAGACATATATCAACCTAGGACATGGTTTTCCCTTCCCTTTTTAATCTCACAACAGCCCTGTAAAATAAGCTAGGTTAAAAGAGTGTGGCTGGATAAAGTCACCCAGTTAGCTTCATGGTAGCGTGGGGCTTTGAACCCAGATCCTAGTCCAACACTGTAGTCACTTTACTGTACTAGCAACATGCTGCCGTGTTCCCCTCATGAACACACAAGTTTTTACATGAAGAGTTCTCATTACTCATTCAGCTGCATGTGAAGATAGCTGGGTAGCCTGCAGCACTGTTCCCTCTAAGCTGAGTTAGTGTGAGCCAGCTCACCGTTTTTTAGCCTCCGGCTGACACATTTTTGTCTTCGCTCAGGAAGGATGGCTCCAGAGCAAACTAATTTATGCAGCAGCCAAATCGCTGGCTCACAACTTTAATGCCAGGAGCTCACAAAGTAGAATTTTTGCTCACAAGACTCCACAGCTTAGAGGGAACATTGGCCTGCAGTACTGATCCTGCTCCTTTTTATGCATATAGGCATTTGCCAGGTGATCGTGTTTATCTCTCTGTTGCTTGTCAAAAGCTCCACGTGATAATTTCTACAGATGAAGCTGCTCAAGAGCAGGCCAGGCTGCCACTCCCTGAAGTCATTTGGCAAGCTGGCAGTGGCCATCCAGTACTGGCTGTTGAGTCAGCTGAGCTGTTTTTGCAGCCCCATCATTTTAAGAGTTAATTCTCTCTTTAACTTTTTGTTGCTGGGAGACATTCTCAAGAAGTCTTCTCTGCTGCTTTGTCTCAAGCTTTCAAGCCCCTGTGAAATAGTGGTTGGAGTTTCAGACTAGGATCCAAGGGACTTGGGTTTGAATCCCTGCTCTGTCATGGACACTTGCTGGGTGACCTTAGGCCAGTCACATAGCCTAACTGACATCACAGGCTTGTTGTGAGGATAAAATGGAGGTGAGGAGAATGATGTAAACCACTTTGGGTCCCCATTGGGAAGAAAAATGGGGAATAAATGAAGTAAATAATAAATGTTCCTTGGGACAGAGTTCTGCTTTAAGTTATTGTTCTGAACCACTCTCTCTCTTTCTGTCTCTGTCTCTGTCTCTGTCTTTCTCTCTCTCTCATTTCCTACATAAGGTTTACCCCAGAGAAGGCAGGGCAGGACCTGAAGAATCTGGCTGTAAGGATTTCGTTTAATTTGAATACAGGCAGGGTCTTTTTTTTTTTTTTTTTAAAAAGGGTGTTACCCAAAATCGTTGCTTTTCCTGTATCTGAGCCAGACTAAGCCCTGAGAACTAGCTCTTTGTTGGCTCTGATTATATTTATGTTTTTCTGCCATTCTTTTAACAGGGAAAGGCAATTACTGGACCTTGGATCCAAACTGTGAGAAGATGTTTGACAATGGAAACTTTCGTCGCAAGAGGAAGAAGAAATCTGATGTGAGTGCCAGCACAGCAGTGCTTGCTTCTGACAAATCGGAAAACAGCATCCTCAGCAGCAGCCCCAAAGGAGCAGAGCACCAAGACATTTTAGAAAATTCCTCTTCTGGAACTGAGAGCTCACCTGAAAAGAGCTCCCCACCCCCTCCTTCTGCTGCTCCTTGTCTCAACAACTTCCTGACCAGTATGACGGCATATGTGAATGGGTCCAATTCCGTCAGTCGTTCAGTGCCCCTGGGACTTAGCACTGAAGTTGGTGACAAAATGGGACAGAACATGGTAGGCTTCAACTCATACTCTACTCTTTCTAGCATCCCCAGCCATGGCAGCGGAGAGTGGTCCAATTCCATGTCCTCTGGTCATCTGGGCTACAGCAGTTCAGTTCTCAACCAGTTCAACACCAGTTTCTACAACAGCCTTGCTGCAAATAATACTCTATATGCCAGAGAGGGAACTGAAGTGTAAACCAAGGGAGGCCCTGTAACAACAGGAGAAAGGGGTATGAATATGTAGAGTGAAAATATCCTTGGGAAAGGTGCTGCATGTTAGTCCTTCATTTCTGGCACCCATCTGTCAATTTTACTTAGACAAACCCAAAACTCTTCATTAATATGAAACAAATAGGCCACAGTGGTTTCAAGCTGCACTGTATAATTTTGACCTTCAGAGGTCTTAGGAAGTTTACACAAGAGCACATCCTTGAACTCCACATTAATGAATATTCTTTAAAAAACAACAACACCTGGTTGAATAACAAAAATAGAACAATCACTTCATACAGAACCCCATCTTGAAGAGATGGAAAGAAAGCAGTCCTTTCTTTCTTTGCAGTCACATTAGATGTGAGTATGAAACAGCAAGTAAAGTATAAAAATGACTTTCACTGAGTGGTCTGGTTTCTACTACTTTGGTTAACTGAAAATGTAGGGTGTGATCCTGCAAAAGTTATGCATGAAAAGATCCACTGATCAAAACAGGAAATTTTTAGTGCTAATCCCTCACACTGAAACAAATGGGACTCAAAAGTACTTATTCTGGGCATCATCCAGCCAATGTTACCTGCCACTTTATTCCAAAGCTGCTGTTAGAAAATGCATAAGTTGCCAAACCCTACTTGTCTTAATAATTATCATGAAATATGTTGTGTATGGTCATAAGGTGTGATTTGGAAGACAAAACATGGTTGTAGCACAAAGCTAGAAGTTGACAAATCTAAATATAGTGCATTTTTGTGGAGAAAGTATAACCCTTGTGAAGCAGAGATAAAAAATTTTCTGGAACTTGAGTCACTCAAACTGTCAGCCTGTTCCTTCTGGATGAATCCCATGTGAGTTCAAGTGATAGCTGCTCATTTACCGGGGGGGGGGGAATCTTATTTTATACTCCCTGAGATGTTTCTTGACCACTGCAGTAACTCAAATTGTGCATTTGTTTTTAAAAAAACTCAAATGCATCCTTCTCTTATACAAAATATAATATTGTAAAACAGTCTCTACGTACAAATGCCCGTTAGCAAGGTTGCCCACTGATGTATAATTATGAACAAAACACTTTTCTTCATATTTTTATTGTGTGTATTTTGGTTACATTTCATGATGGGGACATGGAGGGGAATATTTTTTAATAAAATATTTGTATGTAAATCTGAGTGTGTGCATTGCATTGACAACATTTCAAATGTTTTGTTAGTTTAATGCCAAGCCAAATGAATTGAAAACTGATTAATGTCACAACTCTGACAACTGCTCATTTTATCATGTTTAACTCCCCCTGTTTCCCCCCAGTTTTGCTGGAAGAAACCAGGAAACACATTCTCAAATTGTAGAACACTGCAATCTTTGCATGCCTCTTCTTTTGACTTGCATTTCAGTGAGCCACACCCCTTGAACATGAAAGCATGCCTACCTGGTTCCACACAAATGCCAAGTGATTCTGCTGTATCAGTTACCACACAGTCTCCCCAGCTATAAAGGCTTGTTACATTCTGGATGCAAAATAAGAGGAAAAAACCCACCTGCAGTGAAAGTTCAGTAGCAGAATCCAGCCTAGAGATTTCGGGGGTGGAGTCCGGGGGGGGGGGACTTCAATGAGGTATGATACTATAGAGTCCACCTCCCAAGCAACCACTTTCTCCAGAGGAACTGATCTCTGTTGCCTGGAGATCAGTGGTAATTCCAGTAGATCTCCAACCAGCACCAGGACATTGGCAACCCTAACCCAGCTGTGCTATATACTTCTTAAGTCCCATTGATTATAATGGAATGATTAGCCTTCCCACTCATTGGATGACACTTAACTGTGTAATTTTGGACACTGAACATGATGATGTTCTGGCTGATAGAGAAGCAGATCTTGTGCATATCTATGTACGTATACTGTGCAGACAAGTGAGTTTTAACTAGGGTTGCCAGGTCTTACTGGGTTTTTAGCAGGGGGCTCCTGAGTCTGTCCTGGGATGTTCTTGCATGCATGCAAAGTGAACACTCTGTGATGATGTCACTTGGGCACGACATCATCATGCCGGGCACGTTGCATGCAAAGCTCTAGCATTTTGGCTGAAAACCACAGAGTTTTGGCCCAAATGCTAAGAGCATCGCTGTGTGACATGCCTGGTGTGATGACACTTCTGGGTGATGTCATTGTACTGATGATGTCGACGTGGAGGGGGATGTTTGGGGGTGGGGCTTCCCCTGCCAACCATTTGGCCAGCAGTGGATTGGAGCCTCCAAAATCGGGGAAACCCTCACCCTGACTGGGGGTCTGGCAACCGTAGTTTTAACAGCTTTATTTTTAAGTGCTGCGATCTGCCTTGAACACTGAGGAGGTAGGTTTTTTAAAACCTGCACATTACTGTAATGCCTGAAAAAGCATCATTTTAGTCAGCCTGAAGTGTGAGGGTGTATTAAGCTGTGTGACTGCAAGATAAAACCGGAAGTCCTGTGCAGCAGACCCTCAATATCAGCATCAGGGTTTTCAGGGCAAGGGTGGCTCCTGCCAGTGGTCTGAGCTGCACAATACACCTTGTTCAATAAGGAACTTCAATTACCACCTTGGAGACAGGGAATTGCCACTGAGAAAGGCTAAAGAGCAGTCCCTTACAGAGCTGGATGATTTATGTCATCCAGATGTAGATCCAACCTTATCTCCTTCAAGTATTATACAACACAATCTAATCCATTTTTGCTCTGAAGTAAATCTCACTGTGCTCAGTATGCAAAATGTTTTATCCTTAGTCTTCTTTTCTAACTTTAGCACACCAGAATGGCTATCTAGCCTGTTCCTCGTGCACATCCTTCATGCATTTATGCCCCCAGAGAATGCTTTGTCTAAAAGCCCCCTCAACACTGCTTCATTATCATTCCAGGCTGCAGTTAATCCCTAGTGTCTTTTCAATTGTACGTAATGACCTTCAGCTAATCCAGCTCCACATAACACAAATGTTGTGTATTGGCAAGTGCTGACTCACAAGGTCTATGCACCTTCTCACTTCTCTGGTTTGGCCAGAGGAAGAAGAAGCTTTAAGTAGTATCTCAGTAATACAAGCAAGTAGTATCTCAGCATGAGTTGGGAGAATCATGAAGATTTATTCATGAGCAGTCATTCTGTCAGCTGAGGGCTGGAAGGAGAATTTCCACTTGAATCTTCAAGGAGCTGCAAGGACCTGTCATTTCAAATGAATGTACGCATGGTACACATTCTCTATAATCTGTCTCAGAGTATTTAGGAGTAATGATTTCTGTGCCAACAGTTCAAGGCTTGAATTGATTTTTTTGGATTTTGCAATCTTGCCCTATCTTGAATGCTCAGGTTGATATACAACATTTGCAAACTAAACACCTTGCGGAGGAACTTTTAGATCCTTCTGTTCAACCATTTTTTAAACAGTTAACAAAAGAATTCTTATTATTCTTTTTGTCTGGCCTAACTTCCCTTAAATGTTTCTTGCTAAATCCTGCCCCTGCATGCAGGAAATTGGCCTAAATGTACCAGACATATCAACTAAGAAAACAACAGATATTTAGAGTAGGATGTTAGGGACTGAAGAGGACATAGGCAGTTTAGGGTGGTGTTAGATACGAGACTCCAGGCAGCAGGTGAACAGTGATAACAGCTTTATTGAACACGAAGTCAGAAAAACCAGAATGAGACAAACTATAGAGCAACAGGCTCTTTTTTAAACAGTCTGGGCTTGGCAAGCCATGCCCACATGTCAGATAATAGCCAATCATAAACTGTACATAAAGACCAATCACTTTGCTTCCCTCCAGAACTTCCTCTGTTCTGATAGGTGGGTTTATGATACCTTGTCAGACTCAAGCTCAATACCTCCATACATTATATTACATACGCAACAATCCTCCCCCCTAAGACGAGACAACCCTTGAACAGTCGTAATCTTTCAAATAAGCAGGACGCTGCTTAACCCGTTTGAATCGTCTGATAATTACCATTGGTGGGGTAGAAGGAAGAGCTTCGGGCTCCCTGTGAGTGAGCTCAGTTTGATTCCTTACGGAACTGAGTGTCCGAGGCCGATTGCCATAGTCATGGCTCTGCTCGCCCTCGATTATGCCTGAGGGTCTGCTCGCCCTGATTATGCCTGCTTGGAAGCCCTCAGCCCGTTCGGAGTCCAGAGACTCTACCTGACTGTCCGAGTCAGGTACATCGGCCACCTGGGGAAGGGAATCCGGGATTGAGTCAGCCCACCGCTTGCGCAACTGATCCACATGGCGATTCATTACTTGACCATCATTTACTTTGACAGTATAATGGCGTGACCCGAGGACATGGGTTACTGTGCCTGGTAACCACTTGTGTCCGCTACCGTAATTCCTTGCATACACACATTCACCTTCACAAAACACCCTTGGTTGTTCAGTGGACTCACTGTTTGGTGGCCTGGCTGATGTTAAGTCTGGGTGCATACAGTCTAGCAGTGTGGTAAGGCGTCGGCCCATTAGCACCTCTGCTGGACTCCGCCCCGTCATGGAGTGTGGTGTGATGTGTTGGTGCAGTAAGAAAGATGCCACCTTCTGGCCCCAGTTTCCCTGCACCAAACGACCCAAAGTCTCTTTAGTGGTCCACACCATTCTTTCGGCTTGCTCGTTTGTTGCCGGGTGGAATGGTGCAGACGTGCTATGGGCAATGAGGTTTGCTGCCAAAATGTCTTTGAATTCAATGGCTGTGAAGCATGTCCCATTGTCAGACACCAGAGTGTCTGGCAACCCGTGCATTGCAAACAGTTTACGCAAAATATAAATGACTATTAACGCTGTCATTTTGGATGTGGGGACAACCTTGAGCCACTTCGAATAAGTGTCTAAACAATTAAAAAGATCTGCCCCAGAAAAGGGCCCGCGAAATCCACATGGACCCTTGACCATGGGCAGTGGCATTTCTCCCACTGCGTTACCGGTCCCTGTGGGGGATCAGGTAGGGACAGTTGGCATTCAGGACATTTCTGGACCCAGGACTCTATGTCCACATTGATCTTTGGCCACCAGAAATACCCTCTGGCCAGTCCCTTCATGCGCACAATGCCGGGGTGGCATTCGTGAAGAGCCTCTAACACTTGTTCCCTTAGCTTAGGGGGAACCACCACCCTGTTGCCCCATAGCAAATATCCCTGGTGCACAGACAATTCATTTTGCCATGATACAAACGACTTAAAGCAGTCATCGACGTGCCCCACTGGCCACCCCCTACACACTCAGTTAAGAACCCTGGTGATGGTGGGGTCCCGGGCGGAGGCAGTCACAATGTCCCACGCATGCACCAGAGGTTTGGCCAGTTCCTCGAGTGCCATCACCTCGTAAGCCAGTGCAGGGTCATTGTCCAGTTCTGGCAGGGGGCAGCGGCTGAGGGTGTCAGCATGCCCCATGTTCTCTCCTGGCCAGTGCACCAGGACATAGTCATAGGCGGATAAAAATACCATCCATCTTAACATCCACGCAGACAAGACGTTGGGCGTCTGGCAGTCCGGTGCAAAGATTCCAAGGAGGGCTTTGTGGTCCGTGGCCATAACGAATGGTTTGCCATACAAAAAGTCATGGAACTTTTTAACGCCGGCCACTAGCACCAACCCCTTCCTTGTCAATTTGGGCATAGTTCCTCTCGGCTGGGGTAAGTGTCCGAAAGTAATAGGCAATAGGTGCCTCCCTGCCGTTAGCCAGTACGTGGCTCAACACTGCCCCCACCCCATATGGAGACGCGTCCGCCGCCAAAACCAGTTGCTTGGCCTCGTCATAGTGGGTAAGGACCGCCTCGGATGACAACAGTGATTTAATGGCGGTAAAAGCCCGGTCGTGCTGAGGGCCCCATTCCCACTTCGCCCCCTTGTTGAGGGGGGTGATGCAATGGTTCAGCTATTGAAGAAGAAGACGAAGAAGAAGAAGAAGAAGAAGAAGAAGAAGAAGAAGAAG